TCTATACTATCTTTCTAAGTTTTTTTAAGAATAAATTTATGAAATTTAAGTCTTAAAGAAAATTTTATATACCTTCCCTTTTATAAGTTAAACTAAATTTATACCCAAAAAAACCCTTAAACAATTAAACTCATTAGGAATTTTATAATTCCAAAGTTTTTCAACAATTAGACAACAATTCACCGTAAATCAACAAAATCAACAATAGTTAATAAAAATGTACGGTGTTACAAATCTCAAGTAAATCTTAAAAAAAGTAAATTAAGTTTTTAAAAATTTAAAGCAGAGATAAGACAGGGACAAGGACGAGTACATATATAGTGAGTAAGTATATATCCATCCATGTCCCTGTTCTCATACCCAATTTAATAAATTGAATATTATCCATACTTGTACTAGGTCAAATTAGATATTCTATCTCAAACTTAGAGTAAATTCAAATAGTATTTGCAGATACAAATTTATTTCCCATTTCTATGTGTAATTATTAATTAGATATAATCTAGGAATTCTATAGTTTTAGAGATTTTTAATAAAGTTTGGAAAACTTTTGGTTAAAACAATTAATGTTTCCTAGATTGTTCAATCTACATTTACTTGAACAAAAGATTGTCCGACTTAAATTGTAAATATTATTATTTTAAATAACTTTAAATTTTTATTTTGTCCGAATGATAGAAATTTATATCTTTAATCTTATTTTTGTTTATATTATCCATTCCAATCATATTATTTTAAATATATTTTAATCGTATTGAATATTATTCGATAAGAATAATAAAATTAAATTTTGACTTAATTTTAATTTAAATATTTATAATCACATTATAATTATAATTATATTTTTTTTCTACATAATAAAACAATATATCAGTATATCACTATGCGATGTATAGTACATATATTAGTTATTTAATATATATTTTAGATCCTTAATATATCATTAACTTTTTGTTCGATAGTTATATGAATGTCTCTACCAAATATTTAAGATTTATAGTATATCATTGGTTTCATATTTAGTAATCATAGAGGTGTTACTCCCTATTTTTATGGATAAAAAAGATATTTAAAATCTATATATATAGAGAGAAGAGATTCACTTATTTCAATAATTAATCTACCTACACTTATTTCACTCAATAACTCATTTTTTATATTAAATTTCAACATTCAATCATTGAATTAAAATATTTTAATGCATAAATCAAGTCTGTAAAATTTTAAAATTTTAGAAAAATATTTGGTACTCTATTTCATTAGTTCAAATTAACATATAAAATATTTTTATGATTCGTCAAGTTGAATTAATGAAATGGAGAATTAAATAATTTTTAAATCTTTTAAAAACTTTTGTAAATTGATTTATAAATTAAAATTTTTTCATTTAATAATTAAATTATTAAAATTATATAGAAAATATGAGTTATTGAGTAGATTAAGTGATTCTTTTATTTATATATATATATATATATATATATATATATATGTGTGTGTGTAAAATTATTCATACATGGAGGAATCTTATATGAATTTAAATGAACTAAAAAATTAGACGAAATAAACGCCCGTAAATAATTAGCCCCAGTACCAACAAATTCTAAATAACTATTTCTTTTATACCAAACAGTACATTGCTGATGTGGCCAAATGAATAGCGAGTGCTGCTCATTGCTCAATCTTGCTATTCATGTGGCATATGCATGCAAGTATCAAGTTAACGGAACTGGAACTTCAGCTCCTAAGCATTATGTCTCCGGCCAAATGCACGATATCAAATAAAGAAAATTATATCAAGGCACTAGCTAGTAAAATGCCACTTGTATGCTTGATTGAAAAATGTGTGTTTATATATTTTCTATCAATATAGATGCTACAATCTGTATTATCATAAGGATATGAATAAATCTTAAGAAACAAACTAAGCCAAGGGATTAATATAGGCTGTTCCAGATGTTCATCATGTAACTAGTATTAGGCACACACATATACACATGGCATAGTTGTCCTGGAAAAGAGTTGCACGTAGCAATGACATGCAGTCTGTCACGTGCCTGAGTTATTACTATGCAGAATGTGATCCACATAATCAGGGTAGAAATATTTGGTGGCGCAGGTACCTGTGTTTTTAATTTTTAATTGAAGTGAGAGGGTTTTTTTTCCTTTGAGGTTAGCTGGTTAGCTTTACTTTGGCAAATGAAGCCAAAAATATAAAAATAAAATAATAGCCAATCCAATACCATGTGCTTTTTTATATTCTAAAGTTTTGTCACTTCTCACTATGCTTATTTACACTCTTTGGCGTGTGACTTTGAGCTTCCTAGGAGCTGGAACCTTTTGTTCTAGTGCAGCATGGATATCAAAAATTGGCGCAATTCCAGCAGAACAATCCAATTGGGAAAGTGTCACAACGAGATTGAGCATGCAAACTCGATATCAGCTATTGGAACAGGCAAGTTGAGGTGGAAACTGTTGTGGTTGAAGCTCAAGAAAGAGAAGAAGAAGCTTTTTGAGTCTGCATCACCCTTTCGGGCCCCTTATGATCAATACACTTATTCTCAGAATTTCGATCAAGGGACTGCACTTGATGAACCAGATAATCTCTCTAGATCTTTTTCTGTTCGCTTTGCCGATCCCTCTATATTACTTGTAACAAGAAAGGGGAATTGAATATGCTGAATGCCACCTATGGTTATGTCTTATGTCTGTATTGTATATCTTTTGTTTTTTGAGCTTGGTCTTGTGGTTAATTTCCTCATAATTGTTAGACCAATATTACGTGGCAGGTTCGAGACATGGCGATCCATTCTCCCCTCAACATTTAGATTCATATTTATAAAGTTTGTCAGTACACGTATGTGCAAATCACTTGGTGAAAATTAGTTTCATTGATGGTTCTTCAAATTTGTCTATTGATTAGTGTCTTTAGTTTACACAACCACTGAGAGGGGGAAGAGAGCTTGGGGAAAAGGATAATGAAATTTCTCCATCAAGAAGAAAAGAATATATCTGCCACTGTCGTGTTAATTTTTTTTGTTTATTTCCTAGAAGAAATATATATAGTGTGTGTTTCTTTATTCTTAAAATTTTGCAAACTTACACTACTCAACGGAAAAGATAAAAAAAACTGCTTTATATTTTGATGTTTTGGAAAGAGTATTTTTACGTTTAGGGTTTAGGATTTTCGTTAAAAAAATGGATTTCCAAACAAACAAGCTGATAGTGTCATGGCTGAGGACATAAAAGAAAAACGTTAACTATTATGTGGTCTATGTTCCGAACTTCAGTGTTGTGTTGTGTTGTGTTTATGCTCTATTTTCTCCTTCTGTGGTTGCTTGCTCAAAGCAAAAATATCAATCCTAAACAAAGTAATTAATTAACTAAATCATGAATTATATAAAATTAATGTGATGAATTATTTTGCTGCAAGCTAAAAAGTCAATCATGTTGTTTGTAGGAATCTCCGAATGAGCCAAAGTCACTATCAATATAGGTTTATCCTCGAAGAAGCTAGATCATGCACAGCACTAACATGGGGAATTATCTCTATTTTTTTCCTGAACAAATGTCAAACAGAATTCCTAATAACCTCTAAGAAAGTAACACCTTAACCATCATTTCATAACAAAGACATCGCCAACCTTTCATTCTATATTTCATTTGAAGCAGTAAAACTTCGTCGTCGAAGAATTTCAGACTGTTTTTTCTCTAGTTTACTCATTTCATATTTGACTCAACACTAACAATTTCAAATTATAGGGATCCACTGTCGTATTCATTTTGAATTAAAATTTGACTCTGGGTGCCACTTGTTACGGTTAAAGTTATTAGGGCAACTAAAAAATCTGAGCAAGGCTATAAATTCAAAAGTGGACATAAAATCTATATATATATATTGTGTTAACAAAATAATTACATGTTTCTTGTATGGACACTGTTTGTAAAATAGTGTTCCTTTTAGTAATTGTTGTTGATTTATTAAATATAAGTTATTGAGTTGATTGGTTATTTTATGTTGAGAAATTCTGGAATTGAGGATTCCATATAAGTTTTAATTATTTAAGGAGACAAAATTCTGAATTTGAATTTGATAGAAGAATAAAATTTTGATGAGATTTTTATTTTGCGTATAAAAAAGATGTTGAAAAAATTATTTTTTTTAATATGCAATGAATGTTTTAGATTCTCTAAAAACTATCGATCATGATTGTGAAAAATACTTATGTCCTAAATGAAATGAATTGTATTGATGTAAATACTAAACAAAATTTTCTAATGAAATTATATCCCATTTGAGTAATGACATATATATATATATGTATGTACACATTTCCATTTAATAAAATAGAACTTATTTAACAGAAATATTTAAATGAGTGACACATTATATTTTTAGGAATTTTTTGAGTTTTATTAGAATTGAGAACTAAATTGAGAATGATATATAATTTTAAGACTAATTTGATATATTTTTTAATTATTCAAAAATTTTAAATAAAATTTTATTTTAATATTTTTATAATTTAGTTCTAAAATTAACAATTTAATTATAATTCATAAAATTTTAAAATATATTTTTATACTTAAATAATTATATTAAATGATTATTTTATGTAATTATCTATATATAAATATTTCCATGAACAAATTTTATCATTATCATCCTTATTAAGGAAACACGAAGCAAATACACACGAACAAAGCGTTTATACAATAACCTACCAATACCATGCAACAAAAATGATCACAAACATGTAAATAAAAATATTTCTTAATTTTCGGCTAAATGATTTAAAAAAAAAAATACTGTTAAGAAAGCCAGCAAATCATCCATTTTCTTTCATTTTTCATTGAATTTAAAATATAAAAAATCATATATTATAAATTAATTAAAAATTATTTTAAATGAATTAATGTTATTATTCAAATTTTATTACGATGAATGAAAATGTAATAAAAATTGTAAATTCTAATTAAAATTTTGAACATTTTAGCAGAAGACGAAAAAAAAAAATCATCATCATCCATTGTTCGGCACTTCCGGTAGAAAGAAACACGAATCGTCCATAGTTACCGGAATGTGGAAGTTGAAGCAACTCGAAAATCGAAATGTTGCTCTTCCTCTGAATCTGAACGGTTAATTAGGGTTTTAGTTTGAGAACAGAGCGAAAGCACCCTCCAATGGCGGCACCCTCCGACAGGGTCCACCAATTCTTCGACGAACTAGAAGCAAAGAAAACCATCCTCGCCAAATGCACCAATCTCTTCACCATCCTCTCCAAGCACTTCTCCTCCCTCCAAAATTCCCTCACCGTGAAATCCCAATTCCTCGATTCCAAGCTCCAAGCCCTCGAATCCAGCTCCAAGGAAACCCTAGAATCCCTCCACCACCGCGAAGCCTCCATCCCGGAGCGCGAGTCCGCAGCCGCCGCCCGCATCGAGGACCAGAAGGAGGCCGCGCTCGCCGAGCTCCGCTCCACCGCGCCGCCGGAACCCGACCTCTCGGCCTCCCTCAGGTCCCTCTCGCGGAAGATGGACGCGGCGGCGCTGCTGCGGTTCGTGGTCTCGAAGCGGAAGGAGTCGGCGTCGCTTCGGGCGGAGATAGCGGCGGCGATGGCGGAGGCGGTGGACCCGCCGCGGGTGGTGGTGGAGGCCGTGGAGGAGTTTCTGAAGAGCAAGGTGGCGAAGTCGGGGGTGACGGACAAGAGGTGGGCGTGCGGGCTCGTGATTCAGGCGCTCATGGTTTCGGAGCCGAGGGAATATTCTAGAAGGATCGTGGAGAGAGCGGTTAAGGTTGTGGAGTCATGGAAGGGGCTATTGGATGGGGAATCGGAGAGTGGTGCCGCTGAAGTTGTTATGTTTCTTCAGATGGTGGTGTGCTTCGGGTTGAGGTCCAGGTTTGATGATGATTATCTCAGGAAGTTCGTTATGGAGTTTGCTTCTAGAAGGGACATGGCCAAGCTTGCAGCTTCATTGCAATTCGGGGACAAAATCATAGGTTCGGTTTGGAACATGCTACATTTTTTTCAGTGTTTTGTACACATTTTATGTTTACTCTATACTCTATATTCAATACCTTAACGCCTGTTGTCAGTGCTGCTTAAATTGCCTTTGGTACCCACCCTTCAAGGTCCTATCCTTCTCCTTACAATGCATGTGGATTAGCTTATTTTGGGGGAAAATAGTTGTTATTGTTGTTGTTCTTTGTAAATTCCTCAGAGAGCTTTTCAAAAGAAAGCGATTATTTCTCCAAAATTAGGATGAAAGTAATGTAGCATCAGGTGTGGGATGTATCTGGTGATGGTGGCATCGACTATGGCAACCACTTGTCTTTTCTAATTAGTCAAAGGAATTTGGAAATGGGGTCCATTCCATCTGTGCTCTGCAGCAGTGGCAGAGACAGATGGAAGGGAGGGGTTGGAAATGAAGGGAGCTGAATTTTTATGGTGGGGATGAGCTGAGAAAAATTAGTAGTTGGTCATTTAGGGTTTGGATAGAGAGTTAACAGGCTGTCTGCCCATGTTTCTAAGTTCAGGGAGTCATGTTGGGGTGTTTATAGTATAGCTGGGATTTCTGCTCATGATGATAGATTGATAGTTGAAGGGGGTTCGTTGCATATTAATTAGCTCATTTTTATATCCCTTAGTATGTTGGTATGGTATTCTATTTTCTATATTAATCAGTACTTAGAGGAAGGGGATTTGATAGATATCCAAATGATTGGTATGGGGAGCAAACTTTAGAACATGCTATGAGATTTTGGTACATCAAAATTTTAATTACAGTGGAGCTTATTGAAATTTATTTATTTTTCTTAAAGCATTTCTTTTCCTTAGAAATAATAGTCTTTAAAGATTTGAAAGCATTTCTCTGTGCCATGCTAGTCAAACTTGATATTCTACTCCGGATCAGAAAAGAGAAATAAGATTGTAAATTGTGGGATCATGACAAGGATAGTAAGATCGTATGCAACTTATAAAACTCGTATATATGCATATAATTCACTAATAGTTTGTGAGGGATGAGGAAAAGGGGAGTCTTTTAGTATGAAAGTGTGACAACAAAAATAAAATTACGAGGGTGGTAGTGGAAAATGGTGGAAATGAGCTTGACGCTTGAGAAATATTAGTAGTTAAGATTTTAGGGTTTGGATAGGGTTAACAGGTTTATTGTTAGGGTTCTTCTAGGAGGATCAATTGTCTCGAAGAACAACCAAGAAGGGTAGGGAATCCAAAGAATTGAATGGAATCCGAACAAGAAGAATTTATTGAATTATATGAATTTTCAGAGATTTCATTGTATATCCCGAGCTATTCTTTACAATCTGCTATATAGCAGCAATTCTCTAACAGACTAACAACTTCCCAAACTGGAAGTTTAACAGAATTAACCAACTCATTAAATCTCCTAATGACACGTGTCCTTATGCAAGTCCTGTATCAATCCCTTCCCCTTATGCAAGTCCTTGTCCTCAAGGATTGAAGTTTGGAAACTTCTTCTTCAAGTCATAATAGAACTCCCAGGTAGCATCTTCATACAGCTGATACTTCCACTTAACCAGAACTTTGGTAACAGCCTTGTTACCTCTCTTCACAGTGGTTCTGTCAATGATAGCTTCAGGTTCCTTGGTGACAGCTTCTTCTTCTAATATTGGACAATCTGTTGAAGTGTGTGCTTCCCCTACCAATTTCTTCAATTGTGAAACATGAAACACATTATGTATCAAGGAATTAGCTGGTAATTGTACCTTATAAGCCACAGCACCAATCTTTTCAAGGACTGGATAAGGTCCATAGTATTCAGGAGCCAGCTTTGCATTACTTCTAAATGCCACAGATATTTGTCTATATGGATGGAGCTTGACAAAAACCAAATCCCCAACCTGAAATTCCCTTTCTGATCTATGTTTATCTGCTAACTGTTTCATCCTCTCCTGTGCCCTTTTCATGTGAAATTTGGCTAGTTTAAGCATTTCCTCCCTCTTTTGTAAACTTCTGTCTACTAACTCCACTTTAGACTCTCCTGGTAGATATGGCAAATAAGTAGGGGGAGTCTGTCCATACACAATTTCATAGGGGCTAGCTTTTATAGAACTATGATAAGTGGTGTTATACCACCATTCAGCCAAAGGAAGCCATTTGGACCACTGTTTAGGTTCATCACAGCACATACACCTCAAGTATGTTTCAACACATCTGTTAACCACTTCTGTCTGACCATCTGTTTGAGGATGGTAAGCAGTGGAAAGCTGGATTTGAACGCCTTGGACTGCCATAAACTCCTTCCAAAACCGACTTACAAACACAGAATCCCTATCACTTGTAATGGTAGTGGGAAATCCGTGTAGTTTGAAAACATTATCTAGGAAGCATTGAGCTACTGTTGCAGCTGTGTAAGGGTGTTGTAAGGCCATAAAGTGGGCTGCTTTGCTCAATCTATCAACTACTACAAAGATAACTTGCTTGCCAAAAGAATTAGGCAATCCTTCTATAAAATCCATTGTAATATGCTGCCATACATGGTCTGGAATGGGTAATGGCTGCAGCAACCCAGGTGATGCAGTAGTATCATACTTGCTCCTCTGGCACACTTGGCATTGCTGTACAAACCTCCTAACATCCTTGGTCATGCCCTTCCAATACACTACTGATTTTACCCTGTGAAGAGTAGAATCTCTACCCGAATGTCCCCCACATGCAGAAGCATGTAACCATACCAGAATTTGTCTTCTTACTTCCTGATCTTTACCAACTACCAATTTCCCTTTCCTTCTCAGCTCTCCCCTCTGCCAAGAAAACTGCTTATGAGAAGCATTGTCAGCCTGCAACTCCATGATGATCCTTTGTAAGTTTACATCAGTTTGCCAAGTGTTTTTAATTGAATTCAGTAACTCAGAAGTAGCTTGATGAACTAGTAGAGCTGAACAATCCATCCTGGATAATGCATCAGCAGCTACATTCTCACGCCCTTGCTTATATTCAATATTGAAATCAAACTCCATCAATTTAATTAGCCACTTCTGCTGGAATGCCGTAGAAAACCGTTGATCTAGAATGTACTTTAGACTTTGATGATCAGTTCTTATAGTAAACTTCTTAGGTAGTAAGTAGTGTCTCCATTTCTGAACTGCAAACACAACTCCTAGCAGTTCCTTCTCATAAGTTGAAAGTGCTTGCTGCTGCTGATTAAAGCTCCTACTAATGTAGGCTATTGGATGTCGGTCCTGCATTAAAACAGCTCCAACTCCTTGTCCGGATGCATCTACCTCAAGCACAAATTCTTTAGAGAAATTAGGTAAGGCTAGAACTGGTGTGTTGCTCAATTGGGTTTTTAATTTCTGAAAAGCACACTTAGCTTCCTCTAACCAACTAAAACCATCCTTCTTGAGCATGTCATGCAATGGTCTAGCTATGGTGCTATACCGGTTGACAAATCGTCTATAGTAGCCCGCCAATCCCAAGAATCCTCTTAATTGCTTCACAGATTGGGGTAAAGGCCATTGTTGCACAGCAATTATCTTAGCAGGATCTGTAGCAACACCCTCTTCTGTGATGAAATGTCCCAAATACTCCACCTTTGTAACTCCAAAGTAGCACTTGGATTTCTTGGCAAGTAGTGAATGGTTTCTCATAATGGATAGGACTTGGTATAAATGAACCAAATGGTCCTCAAGACAGGTGCTATATACTAAAATATCATCAAAAAATATCAAGACAAACTTCCGTAAAAATTCTTGAAACACAGTATTCATGAGTCCTTGAAAAGTGGCAGGGGCATTTGTCAGCCCAAAGGGCATAACCAAGTATTCATAATGCCCCGAGTGAGTCTTAAAAGCTGTCTTGTGCACATCCTCATCAGCCACTCGAACTTGATTGTAGCCAGATCTCAAATCAAGTTTAGAAAAGATTTTGGAACCATGTAACTCATCTAGCAAGTCATCTACTAAAGGGATAGGAAACCTGTTCTTTACTGTTCCTTTATTCAACTCCCTGTAATCTATGCAAAGTCTCCAGCCACCATCCTTTTTACCAACCAAAACAACTGGGCTAGAATAAGAACTGCTACTGTTCTGAATGATGCCCGATTTCAAGTATTCCCGTATGATTCCATCAATGATGTCTTTTTGTTGCTTTGCATATCTATAGGGCCTTTTATTCACAGGATTTGTACCTTGAACCAGCGGAATTCTATGATCATGTTCAGCTCTTTTAGGGGGAAAAGTAGTTGGCTCCTGAAACACATCTTCAAAATCCAACAACAATTTCTCAATGTTGTTAGGAACAGCAATGGAATCAACATGGGTTGATAAGGAGTGTAATAAAACACCTTCTCCTGTTTCACACACCTGTAGCATGGATATGTGGACTCCAGCTAAAAGGGTCTTATCCAACCGTTGTTTCCTGACTGTCTTAAGTCCTGTACCTGTGGTGCCCCTCAACACAAGCCTCCTACCATTCACCATAAACTCCATGGTCAATTTCTCAAAGTTCCAAGTGATATCCCCTAATGTAATCAACCATTCGATACCCAGCACCATGTCACAACATCCCAAAGGTAACAGCAGCATGTCAGATTTGAAGAATGCATTATGCAGCAGCCATGAAAATCCTTTGACCATACTGTTGATCTGCACCCTAGCACCATCAGCCACCGTGACACTCAAAGGATCCATGCTAGAAATCTCGCATCCCAGCTTTTTGGCCAGGTGAACATCCAGGAAATTATGAGTGCTTCCACTGTCAATTAGGATATGCAGAGGTTTCTTTTTGAAAAGTCCAGTGACCCTCATTGTTCTAAAGCCAGTAACTCCAGTCAAGGCATTAACTGAAATTAAAGGTTCTACCACATTGCTTGCATCTGTTTCCACTGCTGGTGGGGTTTCCTCATCAGAATCATTGGCCTCCTCCAACTCCAAGACATGGATCTGTAATTTCTTGTGGGTTAAGCTATGAGCAGGGGTGAATGGTTCATCACAAAAGTAGCAGAGACCTTTGGCTCTCCTTTCATTCATATAAGCAGGGGTTAAACTTCTAGTAGTTTGTGGTTTGGGTCGGTTGATTTCCAGGTTTTTGGAAGAGCTAGGTAATAAGGTTGGTTTAAGTTGTTTGGAAAATGGTTTAGGTTGAGAATTAGTGCTGTTTGCAGATTCATACATCTTGGCCAACGAAAAAGCTTTCATCACAGAGGTGGGTTGGAACATCCTAACCATCATCTGCACGTCCTGCTTCAATCCGCCCAAAAAACAGCTCAATTGATTGACCTCCGAGAGTTCCACTTGAGAAACTATTCGATCAAAAATTTCATGATATTCCTGAACAGAATTCTTGTCTTAACCTCATCAATTCAGCCATAGGATCCTCGCATACCTCGCCAAAACGAGCAATCAAGATCTTGGTGTATTCATCCCAAGATGGAAGATTTGATAAACCTACATTCTTGACATAGGCACTGTGCCATTGCAGGGCTTTGTCCTCGAAATGAATCACTGTCAACCGAACTTTGTAATCCTCCGGTGTACCATCGACAGAAAAAAAAGTTTCACATTGGATTAACCATTGTTTCACACCATCACCATTGAAGCGAGGAAAATCTAGCCTAGCCAACCGGGTATGACAAGAGTAAGGGCGAGATTGATTACCATTACCAGGGAAAGTGTGGTTTTCACGGTTACGGAACATCTCCTCAAGACTGTTCTTTAGGGAAGCCCCAATGTCCATGAAGCGGGCTTCCAATGAAGTTCCCATGTCTAAGAAACGCGCCTCCATTGAAGCCTTAAAGCTCTCAAAGTCATCACGAACAGAGCGTGTGTTGTTGGCCATGGCAAAAACATGGTTGGAAGGTCACCTTCTGATACCAATTGTTAGGGTTCTTCTAGGAGGATCAATTGTCTCGAAGAACAACCAAGAAGGGTAGGGAATCCAAAGAATTGAATGGAATCCGAACAAGAAGAATTTATTGAATTATATGAATTTTCAGAGATTTCATTGTATATCCCGAGCTATTCTTTACAATCTGCTATATAGCAGCAATTCTCTAACAGACTAACAACTTCCCAAACTGGAAGTTTAACAGAATTAACTAACTCATTAAATCTCCTAATGACACATGTCCTTATGCAAGTCCTGTATCATTTTCTGGATAAATTTCTGCATTCAGTAAGTCACATCGGGGAGTTTTGTAAATGCTGGGTTTTCTGCATATAACCATAGTTGAAGGGGGGCTCCTTGCGTATTAGCTTCTTTTTTTTATCTCTTAGTATGTGGATATGGTATTCTCTTTCCTATATTCATGAATTTCAAGAGGAAGGGAATTCTGATTGATCCCCAAGAGTTTGGTTCGTCGAGCAAAATTTAAAACAGGGATGTGAGATTTTGGGTCATCACAATTTTAACATGAGGGGTTTATGGAAATTTTGAAGTTATTCTTAGATAAGTTTGCTTGCTTCTTTTTCTTAGAAATAACTTCTATTGACTTCACTGTATATCTATGTGCTACCGCTCTGATATTCTCTTTCAATGTTGCATCTGCTCATTGATATTGATATATGTTAACAAGCCACAACCTTCTACTCGTCTTCTATTCCCTCTTAGCAACCTTTCATCAAATATCTTGATTTTCAATAATTCCAAAAATTCACCTTAATTTTCCCATCACACCCATTTTTGCATGCATGTAGCTCTGCTTTGCAGAGTTAATTCTTTTTTTTTTTCAGCAGTAAAGCAGAAGCAAGATGGCATAGCTTAAATCAATTGGCAATTGAGTTCACGCAGATTTTACCTTGATTCTGATGTATTTGACACTGTCATAATTTTACACTTCTCCATGCAATAGATGTGAATATATATATATATATATATAGCATAACTTTTTATGTGATTCATTTTTTGTGGCCAATGCATACATTCTTGCATAGACTAATTAAAGTAAATGATTCATGCAGATATTATAGATGAACTAATTAAAAATGGAAAAGAGATAGAAGCTGTTTATTTTGCATCAGAAGCTGGTTTGACTGAAAGATTTTCACCGATCAACCTACTCAAGTCCTATCATCAGAACTTTAAAAAGAATGTTACTACCACATCGAAAAGGGGAAACAATAATCATGCTGTAACGGTCTGCATAAGTACCTTTCTGATTTCAGTTTCATTAGTGTTTATGTTAAATCAAAGAGAATGTATTCCATTGAAGCATTTCATTCTTAAAATGTGTATCTTTTTTCAGGATGATTCAAGCACTTCGGAGTTGAATTCCATCAAGGCTATAATCAAATGTGTAGAAGATCACAAGCTTGAATCAGAGTTTGACCTTGATAATTTGAGGAAGCGGGCTACCCATCTGGAGAAAACTAAGGCTGAAAGGAAGAAGATTTCAACATCCGGAACTAAACCTCAGAACAAGCGAGGCTCTCGAGGCAGTGGATCTAGCTCTTCCCGTCCAGCTAAATCAGCCAAATTTAACAATGCGCACTCAACATCTTTCAGTCGCAGGAACCTGGCACCTTCTCGACAATCCAGTGGTGCTGGAGCAAGATTTTCTGGTCCATTCAACTACCCTAGCCAGACAATTTTCGAAGGTGCAACTGCAAATCCTTACACAGCAACCTATGGAAGTTCCCACGCTCAAAGTCCAGCTGGAATAACACAACAGCACTACTCTATTCCTGTTGACAGTTTGGGTCCATCTGGTTACCGGTCTAGTGGTTCCTATTCAGGACAGACTAGCTATGGCATATACGATTACATAAATGTTGCCCCTTCAACTTATCCACCTCCATACACAGTAGATCAAACCAGCTACAGGGGATAAGTTTTCGTGTTTCCCCTTCCTGCCCGGCTGCCCGTTGTCTCATTTTGATGCTACTTTCAACTTTTTTTTTTTTCTTCTTCTCATTTTGTGCATGTCAAAATTGCAAATGTAACAAGTCCTTAGAATGTATTTCTTCTAATACATAGATAGATGTGCCAAGGCAAAGTTAGTTCAATTTTTTCAGGTTTTTTAGAGTACTCCGTAATTTTTACCTTATTTCTTGTTTCGTTTTTTTCCTTTTTCTTTTATTTCTTCTTAGCTATTTCCCACATCGCCATGCCGTTTAGTTTTCGTTGAATTGACAAATTAGCTTCTGAAAGCAATGGTAAAAATGCTATTCTAATCGCAATAAAATGCGATCAACATATTCATTACAGAATTAGTCTATGTTAACTATCAATTACCGAAAATGTCAAAAAGGCCTTGTTGGGATAAATGAATTTCAGTTTAGGAATTTTTGCATCTTAAAAAAATTAGTCGTTATCAGTTACGAATATATTTGCTCCAAACCAAAACATTTTCTACAACAGTTAATAGAAGACATTAATTTTCACAAACGTGTTGAATATCCTATTGGATGCAAGGAAAAATAGATTTTTTTTTTGTTATGAAAAAAATAGAAGCTAAATACTAAATGGACTAACTAACGTCTGTTAAAGTCATGGCCCAAATACAAAGAATCACCGAGTCCGTGGTCCGTGGAGGACAGAATGGCATTTTGGTTGTGGTGCCACGGTCCAAATCTTGAGCTCACCAGACCCATATTCATCCGTCTAGGGCTTTACGCCATGAAGGCATAACAAGACTTAGCCTCACCAAGAATGTCTGATCGATTCAAAAAAAAAAAAAAAGTTTTCTTACTATTATAAATCTCCTAATAAATGATACTCAACACCTTGGGAGAGGAAGATGGTATCTCTTGTGACCAAATTAATGCGTTTAGAGAATTAGACTAAATCAGTTGTGGAAATGCCCCCGCTAAATTTTTAAACTATAATCTTATTATATGATTATTTTTTAAAGTAATTGTGAAATAAATGAAAAAAAGGGTTTTTACTTTTTAGTATTTGAACTAGCTATTCAAATCCACAATAATCTCCATTAACGATATGTGACAGACCACGTAACATATCAGGAAAGTTGGATATTTTATTTTCATTTTCTCCTTTTGTTTTTGCTAAATCAAAGTATCAGAAATGGTTCTAGGTTGAGAATGTCACTTCCTATAATTGGTATTTGAAAAAGTATTCTCAGAAATTGTTGATTCTCTGAAGTATAAAATATGCTCATTTGTATCCTTCTTATTTCCATGATAAGAGGTGAATATCTTGTAGGAATGAAAGTTATTTTCTAAGATAATTACTTTTTTTGTACTTCTTTCCCCAAATATCTTTTATTTTTCAATTTCAATTTTTTTTTATGAAATTACTAATTAGTAATTACCAACCAAATATATTCGACGAAATGACATTGCTAGACGGAATATATTCTTGTTGATGTGATTCATGAAAATCTATATTATACCTTGAAACAAATTTCAATCATTAATCACACATTAGAATTCTGTTTGCAGTATTTAACTTAATATTCAATTAATACATATGTTGAGATGATATAATCAAACAATAATTGGATATTTTCATAACATACAAAACAATTCTTTAAGATATTCATTGCCTCTAAAGGGTCAAAGTTCATCATCTATATCTTGTTTATAGTTTTGTTGCGTAATATGTCTGATCCTTTTTTTGCTTCCAACAGCTTCCATGATCCAAGCAAGGATCCGTCTAGCGTAAAGAAAGCGATAGAATTTAAAAATACTATGCAAACCGACTCACGCAGCACACGATAATTTGTTATTGACCAAGTCAAATCGATCTGCAAATTAAATTTTAGCATGAATACTGTAAAAGCAATGTGATGAAGGGTTTCTACAAGAAAGATAATATAATGTAGATATTATATGCCAAACATTCAACAGGGAAATAACAGTCCATCTATTTACATAACAACCTATCCTAATGAAGAGAATAAATGGTTTAGGAATATATCTCAAGCCATTGATTTCATCTTAACTCTTGTTTTCAACCGTTAAATCTCTTTGTTTGATTACGAGTCTGAAAGGTATCACAGTTTTAAGACAAAAAAAATCAACTATATCATCAACTTAATATTATGCTTGACTATAACTGTTTAATCTTTAACACACTTTTCTTACTTTATCTTTTGCTTCTATTTTTGCTAAAAGCTTTTTTTATTTGCAAATTATTTTTAAGTGCATTAAGTAATTAAATGAACTTTGTTTTATCAACACATCTAACTCAACTTCTCAGAAATCTTAGAATAAATAGATTTATTATGATTGTATACATGTCTCAAAAATTTGAAATTTTGTCAGCATAAATTTATTATGGTTGTATACACGTCAAAAAATTATTATTTTTATTAAATATAATATTCAAATATCGATAAATATGTTGAGAAGATATAACCAGACAAGATTAATATGTTATGTAGCATTAGACAGTTAAGAAAATTCATTTTTTATTACTTTTTATTGCAACAAGGGCAGCAAACGTATGTTTTTGGTATATACTACAACAAAAAGAATTTTTATAATATTTTAAAAATATTATCTAATTATATATAATTATTATTATTTTATTTTTGTGATATATTACAAATGTTGTATAAAAATTTTTAATAACATTTTTATATAATTAGATAATATTTTTCAAATGTTACAAAAATAAGATAATACTAGGTAAATATTACTAAAATAAAATAAAATATAATACTGATGCCGGTTATTTAAAGCAAGATAGTACTTAATAGTGTATATAATATATATATATATATATATATATATATATATATATATATGTATATGTATCTCTGTCTGTGTGTGTGCGCGTGCGTGCGTGTGTGTGTGTGGGGGGGAGGTGGGAGAATGCTAATATATTTTCATCTATTTTTTAGTAGGAGTATGTTAGTAACTTACACCAGAATTTTATGACAAAAAAACTACTCATTTTTTTTTTATTTGATTAATTCGTACAAAGGATATTATAGTAATTTAATTTAATTTTAAATAAAAATAAAATATTTTATCTCTCTTATTAATTTCATTCTCCAATTCATTTATTTTTTATTAATTGGTTTTTATTTGTTCAGAGAGAGAGGGGGGTGATATCATGAGAGATGAGAGAGAAATGAGTTAAAGAAGGAATTTAATAGGAAAGAGAAATGAGTTGGAGAAAGAATTTAATAAGAGAGAGAAATGTGTTAGAGAATGAAGTTAATAAGAGGAAAAAAAATTTATTTTCATTTAAAATTAAATTAAATTACTGTAATATCCTTTATACAAATTAATCAAATCAAAAGAAATGAGTGATTTTTTTGTCCTAAAATTTGGAGGTGATTGTACAATTGTGCATGTAGCAGGCTATTTTAGTGGATTAAAGAAGCATATATAGCAGAGGAATTAAATATCAAATACATGGAAACATTAACAATTTGGAGAAGTGTGTAGTACAAACATGTTGCGGCAGATTGGTTTGATGATTGCGATTTCCGGATATTCCATTGGCCTTATATAAGTAGGATTTGGGGGGAAGTGGATAACGGTTTTTTGGTTAGGTTGCTATTATATAGTCAAGAGGTGATTGGCTGATCGGTTGGTTATTCTCTATTTATTTCACTATTTTATATATAGAATGTAACCTATTATATCAAATGCTTAAGTAAATAGTTTCTGGACTAGCTCTAAACAATGATTTGTATATAAGTTTTGGTATTTCTTGTACCATTCTAATATATCTCTTTTGTTGATTAAAAAAAAAACTGAATTATGATTAAGAAAAAGCTAACTAAATATCCAACAAAAATTGAACAAAAACATCCAAGAATCTACCAATTACTGATGCAACTTCAATGATTTTTGAATCACTGAAAATCCAATCAAAAACATCTTTTGTTGTAAATTTTCCTGCGCCAATAAATGTTGTTAGAAGAACAGGTATACCGGTTGTTAAGATTTCATTAACTTTATATTCATTATATGTTGGAATGTAACCCTCGAGACACCATCTTGCTTCAACCATATAGCCTTTTGTGAAGGTAAAAATCTGCAAGTAAAATAACCAATATACTGAATCCCGTAGAGAAAAGTATTCAATTAAGAAAATATATATATGAATTAGGATAATCATACAGCTTGTTTAAAATATGGCACCACAAAACTTGATTTTCCACTCTCCTTTGTCATCAACTCTATTTCTTCACACAATTCTACAAGCATGTCAAATATCACTTTCATGCACTGTGGAAGAGATTTAATAAGATTAATATCCCATCTGAAATTTAAAAAGAAAAAAGTAATTATTGACAAAAACTTTAAGTCACTGGCTAAAAGTAAATCATGATGTTTATAAAATCATTTTTCTCTTATATATATATATATATATATATATATATATATATATGCATGTGGGAACATGTATTGACTAAACATTTTCATTATAACATCTATACAAAACAATATTTTAAGACATCCGTTGCCGCTATAGGGTAAAGTTCAACTTATTTGTCTCCCTCTTAGGATTTGTTTTGTAGCATCTTGCTCCATGTTTGCGCTCACCAGCTTCCATAGTCAGCTATAGCTTTGATATGTGAACCCCTATATAATGATCCAATATATTAATAAATAATATGCAAACCCATCAATCACGCACACACCATGCTAAACAGAAAACAAAAAATTATTAAAATGAGATATTACTAATAATCAAAATTTATGGGAAACTCATATCTGGTGTAAGGGAAAAAAATGGATTGATTTACATTATAACAGACTTATTTGGTCCATATGCATAGATATAACTCTCATCATTTTTACTAGTCATATATATATATATATATATATATATATATATAAACTATATATTAATATAATGTATCATATTACTAATAAATGATTTATTTTAAAACATAATATATCCATGTATCTAATTCAGTGTGTTGATACAATAATCATAAGGTTTGTTTCAGAATTAAAGGAGTCGATAGTGTTCGAATTTTTGTCTGTGTTAAACTAAAATTTAATCAATAATAAACTAATAATTACATTTTACAAAATACAGATTAATCATTAATTATATGGGTATGTATGATATAACAATCCTCAA